TATCAGAGAAAGGTTTATATTTTCCTCTTTTCAAGAATTCTAAAAAAGTACCACATTACTAATGTAATACAGTCCCATTCAACACCCTGAAATACCATGTTGCCAGACTTCGCTACCCTGTTGTATGTCTAGGATCAGAAAAAACAATAATGTGTTACAGTCCCATTCATCACCCTACAATTTCATAATTATACATTCATTCGTTTCCAAGAAATTTCCTTCTAATAATGATGTGCATCGGAAGTTATTGACAATTACAAAAATGAAAATGAGAAACTAAGAATTGCGGTGAAAGATAAGAAAAATATTAGAACCGGCAAAAATAGGTGAAACAAATGAAGATACAAAAAAAAGTAGCAAAGAGTAAAAAGGTATGACTAACGAGCGGGGTATGAGGAAATAACTAAATTAATAATGAACTGGGAACAGGAAGGAAAAAGGAGACGGGATAGACCAAGATGGAAATGTATTTGAGAATGATTCAAATGAGGCAGGAATAATGAATGCATGAGATATTACATTCGATTGAAAGAAACCGAAAACAATTTGTAAAGAAGTAGGATAATAATTAATCCAGAAAGTTTTAAACATATGTGCTACTGTACAAAGGGCGTTAAGCCCCATACCTACATTTACCCCTACCCCTTTTTCCAAATCAAATTAATATCGATTTAAGCAAGTTATTATTTCTTTAGTTTGTAGATAAAGAGAAAATATATTATTCCTACGACCCCATATAAAAAACGTCTAGTGTCTAATGACGATAGCAAGTATAATTTTGATTAATTGCTCACAATATATTTAACCAATATTTTAATAATAAATTAGCTCAAAATCACCAAGATGAGAAATTTGCTACGCCAGCAAACAAATTACTAAAATCATAATTTTAATGAGGAAAGAACATATTGGAACATTAAAATTGATTTGTTTCAACTGTACATCGTACAATACACTTTAAAAATAAATTATCTTCTATATTATTTGAAAATATATATACAGAAAATCATTTCGAGAACGCTTCCTAACTTACAATCTTTATATTTAAACTTTAACAAATCATATAAATTTACCGATATTAAATAATTTTCATTACTTCTGTAGATTATTTTTATTAAATAAGTAGATTTTAAAAGAGCAATTCAAAAAAGCTTTATTTTTAAATAAAAATATGCAAAAATATTTTGTCCTAGTATGTACGCATCATTTCAGTGAATGCAGTTGTAATTGGCCGAAAACAATTTCATTCGAACGCAGCTTCTAGGTGCTTGGGCACAGTAGTGGCCGAAAACGGTTTGGTATCCAGCTGTCAAAATGTTTTTCACCAATTAAGTTTAAAATAAGTGGTAAGTACCTTTCAATTAATTATTTACGAAGCGTGCATCCATAGTTCATCATCCCGGGAACGCACTTAAGTTTAAAATAGTGGAAAAATACCTTTTAAAGTACAATATTAACAAAATAACCATATATATTTTATTTTTATCATTCCAGACTGTATCTAAAATGGGCTCCGTCAAAAAAGAGCGTGCATTTATTTGAAATCGTCATTTCGGGAACGGTCATTTCGAGAACGTTCCCGGATATGATGTCACGTTCTCGAAATGACGATTTTGTTTTCGAATAGAATTGTTCTTGCAATTTTTTAATAACTTACTATGTATATATCATGTGTATATAATTTCTAATAAGTTAATATACTTATTTGTGTTGGTATAGCAATAAGCAGACTCACGAGTCAGAAAAAAACAAAAAAGGACTGAAAAAAAAATTATAAAGGTACTGCTACCTATTTAGAATAGAAACAAAAAGCTAATGCTAGGAAAATAAGTTTATAGACAGGATGACTGATAAGCAGAGAGAAATTAAAAGGGCTAAGGGCATAGATTATTATAAAAAGAAAAAGCAGAAAAGAAAGTGAAGAATATTACTGAAATGACCGAGAGAGAAAAGCGAAAGTAGAGAAAAGACTGAAAAAAAAATACAGAGGTAAGAAAAAAGTACTAATAAACTTAACAATACGCCGCCACATTCGGATAATGAGTTACCCGCAATTTTTTCAGTGGGAAGACAAGTAGGAAGCAAAATAGTACAGAAGGATAGAACCAAACACAGGAAGAGACTTTTTTTCAAAAAAAATGCTACCTATTAGGAAACAAAAGCGCATCCTTTTATTCACAGTCAAAGCACTGACATCAAAACTGGGGTTAATTTATCCTATACGACACTTCTCAGAGCAAAGCCGTTCTGGGTCGTATCTCCAAAATTAAAAGACCAAGAAACATGTTTGTATGTTAAACATGAAAATTTCGAATTAAAATTCAATAAGCTATTTTTTTTAATAAAAGATTATCGCCAGATAATTATTAAACTTAGTTGTGAACTTTAATAAAAAAAACTGCATTGTTAGAACTGATTAAAACTAAGGACATAAAATTCATTTTTAGTTAAGTACAAATCCTGTTTTAATAAATAAATAACTATGATTTATGAAACTCGGTTCATTATATTAATGTACCTTTACTGTAAGTTATCTATATCAATATCGTCAGTCGTATCATTCCGGGAACGCCTAATCATTTTCGGAAACGTTACTAAAATTACGTAAAACAGAATATTTTAGATATCTTCATTAAAAAAGACCGTTATTTTCTAAAAAAACCTTAATTTTGTAAATATTAAATTATTTATAAAAATACATTGTTATTTTGATATTTCTTAAGTTGCACATATAAAAAAAGTAACTTATCTTCGTTTTAGGATGTATTTTACTTTAAAGCGATTTCGTATGTATTATTTAATTTTTTTTTAAATTAATTGTTGATTAATATACACCTACCCCATTGTGTAAAGAAAAACAAAAAACATTCTAAGGTACTTTTTTGACATTTTATTAACTTTACAAAAACGTTCCCGAAATGACCATTTGTAGCAGAAGTATTATTTAAAAGTAGAATTACAAAAAAAGAAATAAATTCTATGCTCGCCCCATAAAAGTATTATTCAAACACAAGTTAAATGACAATATAAACGAATAATCGTGATTATAGTTCGTAATATTTTTTGCCATAAAACCAATCTTAAAATTTACGACCTTGGTGATTTTGAACGGGGTCCTGTGATCGACTGGCTCGGAGTAGTTTTTTGAGTATTTTAGTCGTATGTTGGCGTTGTGCGTAACTGCATTGAAGGCGTCTACATGAATATTTTATTAGCTTTTTGTAAATTATAAATATAAATACTGTTTACAAATCATCCGAATCAAAATGAACAAGTTATAAAATAAATGTAAAAAACGACTTCAAAATCGTGCAGATGCCGTTAGAAATTGAGAATTTTAATTTTCTCATAGATCATCTGATCCTGACCAATTGTATAGGAAACTACCCCTGAGGTATCCCCTATCTAACAAAAAAGAATCATAGAAATCGGACGACGTGGTAAAGAATTATCGCTGAAAATACTTAAAAATGAAGAGTTTGATAGTTTTCCTATGGACCCCATTATTAGATATTGACCAAATTTATACGGGACCACCCCTGAGGTACTCTCTTTCTAACAAAAAAAGAATCAGAAATCAGACAACGTAGTAAAGAATTATCGCCGAACATTAATAAAAAAAAATTAAATATATATACCGACCATTTGAGAACCTCCTCCTTTTTTGAAGTCGGTTAATAAAATAGGCAATCTCTTAAGCAAAACAAAGCTATATTCTAATGTGCGCGGCGTTTTTACCTGAATTCAACTCGTCAACTGGCCAATGGCCAACACAATGGTTCGAATAAATAAATCACATGAAATTATTGAACCAACAAATAACAACGGATGAAAAGAAATTATCATTAAAACTCTGAATCTTCCTATTTTACTAGCGAATTATTTTTGGGAGTTCTCCAGCTCAGCATTACTTAAGGATGAGTCGTCACTGATAAAAACAATAACTTACTTGCTTGTTTACAAACAAAATTCACTGATAACCGGCTTTTATCATCAGTCGAGTTGCTCGTAATTTTTTCGACTGGCTGAAAATTAAATTAAGTATCACAAACCTTTGTTTTGCATAACTTTAACAGTTATGTAAGCAGACGTGCCAATATAAATTAGTTGGAACAAAATTATCACAAATATCGTGCAGTTTTAATATCGTTAAAGTTACATGCAAGACATAAACGTAACGAGTGTAATTTTGTATCCTGGGCGGGGCAAAATGTGCGGAACACCAAGCATTTTTTGATAGACGTATATTTTGTATGATGTCATCACTTTTCGAGTTATGACGTCATTACCAGTTTTTTGAATGGCAACACCACCTTTTTTATAGTATCAATTAAAAGAGCCGATTTTTGCCTAGGCACGTCAAATTTAGTTATATGGTAAATAACAATGTAATGACAACAACATTTTTATCTTTAAAATAATTGCATTATAATACAAAATTTAGTGTCTACAGGCAGAAAATGTGTTCTTTATGCGCCAAATTATATTGTATAGGATTTTTATGTACCAAATAACGTAACATATCACGAAATTGCCGCTCATAGGCGAAAAGTGTGGTATTCAAATTGGTATTATCAAAAAATGGTGTTGATATGAAAATGTCATATCGCGAATATTAAAAAAATATGGAGTGATCCAGAAAAAAAAATGTTTCTAAAATAGGCTATCGATGATCACATTTTATAAGTAAAACAAAATATACACATATTAAAAAAAAACAACCTGTCCTTTTTTGTTACTTATCCAATAATGCCATAAATCGGGTATTCCGCCAATTTTGTACAATCATGTATAAAGGGTGTAACACAATGAAGTAATCAGATTTAAAATACTGTTAAGACATCAATAAGGGGGAAATCATTCAAAAAATCGGATACACAAACATACTCGTCAAATAAATATAAAGCTTTATTGATCACCGGCCAATTGTTAAATACTGTGCAAACTGTAAACTTTTTTTTAAGCTTTTACTATTTTTTTCTCTGGAAGCAAACCTTTACCTCTTAGTAAATACTGAACGCCTATGTGAATGACGCATAGAATTAAGGCACCAATACCAAAGAAACGAAATGTTAATGCACCGCCATACTTCTGGTACAACGTGCCGGCTAGTGAACTGCCGGCGGAAACCCCCACTCCTTCAAAAACGGCACCAACTAAACCCTGAAAGTTAAAAATATTAGGGGTTAGTTAACAACCAGTTGCAAAAACTTTGTCTAATTATTGATATTCTGTTAAACTTTGAAGTAACAGATGCCTGCGGATCATGACACAATTTTTTAATTCACAAAAAAAGTACCACTTTCTACACTTGTTGCACAAATAACTATTATAATTATCAGTAGTTTATCAGCCAGCACCCGATTTCTAAGTAAATGATCTCGTCATTTCTACGATAAAGTCGAGCAGGGTGTCATGTTTTTTTTTTAATTTTTGCTTAGATTAAGAATATGATTATCCGAAAATAGAAATAATAATTTTACTCTCCCTGTTTACTTCCTTACAAGTGAATTTTAATCTCAGAAGAAATGCTTGTACGGGGTAGGGATACCTATTTATTATTTGCCGTGACGCTCCGATGCGACTTACAGATTATTGATGGTGCCATTTGACTTACAGGTTAGAAAAACCCGGAAAACCTAACCCATCATAATAAACTTGTAGCTTTATTATGGTATAGGTCAAAATTCACTGTAAAAATAGTTTTTTTCCAGGAAATATGGATTTTATCTAAAAAAGATTCAAACTAAAGTTGTACATAAGGATGGATCGGGTACCCCTCTCCAATTTCGTGACCCAAAAAGCAGATTGGAGTAGATTCGAAAAGTCCCTCCAGGCGGGACTGGGAAACGTAATTAAAACCATTAAGAATAGCGCAGAGATTAAAGTGGCGAATGATCAAATTTAAAATGTCTTAATGACTGCCTATCAGTACAACTGTCAACTAAAGGAAAGAAGAGACCTAACGTGAACAGAAATCTTGACAAAAAACGAAAAGAAGTTCGGCATCTCTTCAATCGAACTAATGGATTAGGATGCTGGAACAAATATCTCATGTACCAAACGAAGTACAAGGCCATCAGAAAGGCCAAACGAGAATCGTGGAGGAAGTTCTGTCAGAGTATATCAGATTTACCAGCAAGCACCAGACTTCACAAGATTCTCGCCAAAGATCCGAGACAGGAAGTCGGTTCGATAAAAAGACCCGATGACACCTAGACGGACTCTGGCAACGAAACGTTAGACATTCTTTTACAGAAACATTTCCCAGGCGGACTACGTTGCACAGGTTGTCTCTCCAAACGCAGTGAAATGAGCGATAAAGTATTCTACCCTTTCAAATCACATGAAAATTATAGCATATTTATGCCCTTTTGCAGCTAGCGTGCCTCGCCATCACTGGAGCAATGTCAACCACATCGATGGAAGCCATGGAGACCATTCTGTACCTAACCCCTATCCACATTTTGCTTGAGAGGGAGGCCAGGATGGTCTCCTATAGACCCCTGCTGAAGGTGGGTAGTCAATGCAATAAAGAATTGCAATGGGACAAGACGGGGCTTATGTGTGAGATTAATAATCATCATATCCTCGGCATGGTCTCTAGACTCGCTATAGAAAAGTCATACGGCGGTCCTCATTCCAGAGAGAGACGCATGGAGCAGGGGAGATAAAAATCCTCTCCCAGGCGGACTATGCGCTGTACACGGACGGTTCCAAAATTGAAAAAGAAGTAGGAGCGGGAGTTCTCGGCCAGATACCAAGAGTTGACATATTAATAAACCTCAGGCCACGATCTTATAAGAAGAAATAATTGCTATAGAATTGGGATAGTTTTCTTCCTGCAAACAAGACTATAAAGATATTTTTGGCTGGCCAGGCAGCTCACAAGTACCTGAGCTTTAACCGAGTTGACTCAAAGCTGGTTTGGAACTATATAAATACCTTTGAGTGTCTTGGTGCCCGGAACAAAGTTACTTTGATATGGGTTCTGGGACAGAGCGGTGTGGAGAGAAATAAAAAGGCCGACGCGCTCGCTAAAAGAAGAACCGAGTCTGAGTTCATAGGACCAGAACCTTTTCTGGGCATTGCAAAGAGCACTGCCAAAGGAATTATCTCAAAATGGATGTAGGGTGAAACATTTACGATCTGGAGAGATACCATAGGGCTAACTCTGGTCCTCAATTTACGGGTTCGGCGGCATATCGAGCGACGTCAGTGGCACTCGGAGGTCGCAGATATCGAATTTTTATACACAACAGGGCTACGAAAATGTCCAGCTTCGCCCCATTGTAGACATCACTTAGGTACGTTGATATATGTTTGATTGCACATTAATAATACTAGCGGAGAGCTTTTTATAGTGAAACTTCTTATGGTTCGCTCTGGCATAAAAAATATGAGGAATGAATTGATAAAAATTACATATTTCGATGACCCGAAACCTCGACAGCGTAGACCCCATTTGAAGTCCATTAAATAAATAGAAATAAATAAAAATAAATGAAAATAAATAAAAATAAATAAAAATAAGTCTAAAATCTAAATAAGTGAAACTTCTTACGGCTCGTCCAGACATGAAAAATATGAGGAGTGAATTGATCTTGGTTCGTATATCGTCTGTGCCCGGATTATATTTACGTCTATTTTTATTTCAGAGCGAGTTCGTCTAAGTTTCACTTCTTTCGTGCGTTCGATAACAAACACATTTTATTTATTATATCGCTACAGCGAAAATTCGAAAACATCGTTAAAACATATAAGTCAGTAATCATTTGTCGTTTCTTCTTTTTTTAAACTATATTTTGCCTTTGTAAGAAATTCAGATAAATTGGTTAATTTAATTTCGCGCATACGTAATACACTTTTCCACGTTTGAAAAGTGTGTTTGGACTAGTCAACTTTTCAGACTAGTCGAAGCAGTGGAAATCCAGGTAAGGTGTTACTATTTTGTTTTAAAAGACTATTCTCTACAAGAGGATTAAAATTGGCCCATAACTATAAGTTTGATATTATATGGTTTATTATTTAAAACAGATAGAATTCGAATCTGCGATAAAAAAAATCCGTCTGTCTGCTTTATGCATGGATTTGCAACATGCTACAACTTCGTTAATACGAGTCGTATCGAACTAATTTATTTTTTACTTGGTGATTTCAATTGCTTCTTTACAACGAAATAAAATTAAGTACTACCGAAGTAGAAAGAAACTAATCTTTCCCATAATTTTTATTTATATCCAATCATAATACTATTCAGCTAATAATTACCTTCAATTTATCTCCTGCATATTTTTTTAAATAGAGGCTTTTTAAGCGCTTTTTTTTCTTGAAATTTCGAAAATTTTACGGGGTTTGACCATCCGTAGGGCCGTTATCGTAAGTTTTAGTTTAAAATCTAACTTGTCATTTCTTGTAGGTAATCTTAGACAAAACAACTTTGGTTTGAAACTTTTTATGATCAAATGTATTTCCTAAAAAAAACAGAAGAAAAACTAAAAAAATTGCGTTTTCTGCAGAATATTTTTAAATACGCCATATTCCGGATAATCATATTGGTAATCCATGCAAAAAAAAATAAAAAAATTACACATCGCAGAAGTGAGACTATTTTTTTCTAATAGGTACCTAAAAGACTACAGTCTGAAAAACAACTCACCTGCATAGTAGCCTCAGTTCCCGAAGGCGCAATAATACTAGCGTACGAAGCCATACAGGCAAAGAACAATCCAAAAGTAAGTCCATTAGATAGTTCTATCGGCAAGAAGTACCAAGGATTGGTTATCACAGAATACAGGCAAAATCTGACTCCTATAGCGCACAAAACCAAAGACATTGTATGTACGTGTCCCAATTTCTTTATGATCCTCCCGGAAATGAAGAAAAATGGCGTTTCTCCGAATATTGATTGACAACCTTGGACTAAACCTTCTAACGTTTTAACGTAGGTTAGACCGGAGCATCCGTTGGCCCCTGCCAAATCTTCTATCAGCCAAAATAGGAACTGCCAAATCAGACCGGTGCACATACCTACCCCTATGCACCATATCAGGAAAATAATTACTCGGACATTGAGTAAAAGAAGGCCTACGTCACGACAAATGTTCGCAGATACTTTCTTTTGAGTATACTGAAAATTAAAAAAAAAATGAAATTATATACTGGGTGTGCAACTTTTTTTTTTATTGGACAATAAATTAAACTTTAAACCAATGAAATCTTTTTTAGTTTCTTTATAAACAACCTAATACTTTTCAAATTAGGTATTAATTACAAATTTCCGGGTGACGTAGAACACCAGTATATATACCAATCAGTATTGGCACTCTGAGGCGGCACGTTTGACCTTTAAAAGTAGAAATTTTAGTTGACACTTGACGTTTTCGGGATATGAAAAGTTTTCTTTACACGGACTTGGTATACCTGGTTATTTGAATTTTTGTTCTGCTGCTTTTCAAATTCGTGTGTATGAGGGAGATGTGAGATACCTTCATAGACAACGGTTGAACAACTTAATTACTTTGAAGAAGAAAATAGATTAGATATCAGGGCAGTCTTCGCAAATGTATGAAGGACAGAACCGTTTTAAATTTTTTGTATATATGTGAAATATTACTTTTTGGTGAAAAGTTTAATTATTTTTAGTTCAAAATATAACGTTAGTTTGTCAAGGGAAATATTGTGATGTTTGTTTATTTTCAAACAACAGTTTATTTATTAATAATTTATTTAAACACTTATTTATTTTAAACAATACTATTTTAATTTATATATACTTCGAATGTCTTTAAACTGATCACTATTTATATTCACCACTGTCTATCTACTAATTACTATTTATCTTCACTGTCCATATAACTACTGATAACTGATGGCTCTCCTCCACCAATTTATAAACAAATTGGTGGTCTAGAATGCTCCCCCACCAAAATTGTCAGAAGGTGCCAGAAACGTTATCACGTTCTAGAAATAGTATCTCGTTGACTCTGGAATGTTCGCGAAAGTGTCTCCACCATAGTCGTCCCATAGGTTTGGTCTTAAGGGGTTTTATTTATGTATAATATTCGGACAAGTTGAGTCTCAAAGGCCAAATAAGACAGAGAGGGTTAGAGCATGACTGAATAATGAAATGGCTCACATAACATTGCCCCCTCCTTAAGAGA